GGCAGGGGCAGGGGCGGGGGCGGGGGCGGGGGTGGGGGGAGAGCTCACCTGTAAACAGAAACAACCCATTGCCGCGGGCGATGTGGCCCCGGACGGTTTGTATCAGCTCTTTCCATTCATTTCTTTGACACTTTGGAGGCATGCTTGCGGTGCGCCAGCGCTGATCTAAGTGCCCTGAAAATACACTGCACACCACAGCCCGGCCAAGTGGGTACTATTAACCGCACCCGACGCATGGGAAACTGAGGCACGGAGCGACGAAATGATGTGTCCAAAGCTTGTAAGAGGCCCGGCAAGATTCAAAGCCAGGTCGTCTGATTCTTGCATCTGTGCTCTTACAGGCTGCCTCCATTCATTCATTCATTCGTTCACTCGCTCACTCACTCAGTCGTTTACCCAGTCCAAACAGACTCCAGTCCTCACACCATGCCTGACCCTAAAGATGCAGAAACCCTAGTATTTCTCCAATAGCCACGGAGCCTAATTTACTGCGAAACCGCCCAATAACAATGAACATTGTCTCATTAAATGAGTCATCCCGCTGAATCCTCACATTCAAGGAGGTAGGGATTATTACCCCTGTTTTACGACTGGGGAAACTGGGACTGGGGGTGGGTGAGCCACTGCCCCGGGCCACGTTTTGCCATTTAAATGCCTTCCTGCTGCTGTGACCTCAGGATGCCCACAGGCTCAGGCAGGAGACAGGCATCAGCTTCTGTGTCCTCAGCACAAACTCAGGGGCTCTAGGGCTGCGACGAAGGAACTTGGCTGGGGTAGAGGGGACTTGGAGCTTCTCAGGGAAGGGATGGAGACACAGGGCAAGGGACGGCCCCAGAGCAGCTGGTGGTTTCCTGGGGCTGAGTCTTAGCTTGGGAGGTGGGAAAGAAGGAGAGGCTTGCAGCCTGGGAAACGTGGAGGCAGATTTCTGCCTTTGAGGTGGAAAGGACGAATTTCTTTGGAGCAATAGTTTAAGAGTCTCTAAAGCTCTGGCAATCCTCAGCTTTCTTGGAAAACCTGGGACAGTTCTTATGGTTGACTTTAGCTTATGGCCTTCGGATCATTCAAAGCTTTGAAGGAGGCAGTGGTAAGGTGGGTATAGGGCCATGAGCTACCTTTCCAGTCTTCCGATGCTGCTCCCTGCGGAAAAGACTCCTTGGAGAATGGCCAATTCCAGGGCTGGAATAATGTGCAAGATGAGCCTGGGGCTTCTAGTTGGACCAGAACGCAAAGAAGGGGTGGCTGACCTCTGTAGTCCTGTCAGAAGGACCGCCCTCTCCCTTCTCCACCCCTGCCCAGAGCCAACAGGAAGGGGCTCTCCTGCCCCAGCTGTGACCACCAAAAATGTCTCCCGGTGGCGTGGCCAAAGGCTGAAATTTCTTTAAAAATCCCAGAAGGAGATGGGGCGGCCTGGGTGGCTCTGGTTAAGTGTCTCAGGTCATGATCTCACAGTTTGTGGGTTCAAGTCCCTCATCGGGCTCCGTGCTGACAGCTCAGAGCCTGGAGCCTGCTTTGGATTCTGTGTCTTCCTCTCTCGCTGCCCCTCCCCTGCTCATGCTCTCTCTCTCTCTCTCTCTCAAAAATAAGTAAACATCAAAAATTTTTCTAAAATAAAAACATACATGAAGCACATGTGGCAACAGACTTCCTTAAAAACCCGCCCTTCTTTTGTGTAGGTTTAGAAACGTGCACAATAAAATAAGTATTTTTTTTTTTAATTTTTTTTTCAACGTTTTTATTTATTTTTTTTGGGACAGAGAGAGACAGAGCATGAATGGGGGAGGGGCAGAGAGAGAGGGAGACACAGAATCGGAAGCAGGCTCCAGGCTCTGAGCCATCAGCCCAGAGCCCGACGCGGGGCTCGAACTCCCGGACCGCGAGATCGTGACCTGGCTGAAGTCGGACGCTTAACCGACTGCGCCACCCAGGCGCCCCTAAAATAAGTATTTTTAAGGGAATTCATCGATGGGGAGGGGTGCAGGAAGAATGTAGGCTTGGAGCCCAGTCTTCTGAGCTGACCTCCCAGGTTCCAAGTACGGTGCCTTCTCTGAGTCAGGTTGTCGGTGAGCAACCTCTCTGCACTTCCGTTTCCTCATCTCCTCATTTGTGAAGTGGGAGCGGTAACAGTACCTTCCTCTCAGGCTTGTTAGGGAGCTTCCGTGAGATGATCAAGCGCAAAACAGGCAGGAAATGCTCGGTTTACAATATTCCTCCGTGCTCTGCCCTGTTCCCCCTTTGTTGG